GTGAAAAGGAATAAACCTCCACAAATTCGTGACATGTTTTCTAAAAGTTGAAACTGTTTTAACTTTGCATGGCTTTCTATACATCTCTTCTCTGAGACGTGAGTGCAGAAGTCATCTTTGTCCGTCTAAAAAATGCACTGAATGCGTTCTGTGTGAATGGCTTGGTTTCGGTTTTCACCTAATCAAGATCTTCTCCACATTGAGCTTCTATATTTCTCTAATATTTTGAATGCATAACACAGCAGCGGCGCATCTCGTGGGATAGACTAACAAAACATTAAAATGCACTGTCACTTAAATCATCACCGCATCTCGCGCGCCACTGATGACGCTCCCTGACGCACTCCTAACATTCAAATGCAAATGTTTATTTTAAATTCGACTAATATTCATTCTTTATTCACAATCTCCTCATCACAGGCAGGCACAGCATTCAATTCAGCATGTGTTCGTGTTTGTGTGTGCTGTCTGCGTCACTCATAGCACGTGCCTATATCGAACATTTTTTACCGTCGATAAATATTGATACCATTTTATCGCCCAGGCCTAAGAGAAAGTTATGAAAATGAGAAGCAAGAATATAAAACTATAAAAACATAAGCAACTATGAAAACATAAGGAAGAAGCAAGTCACTGAATGGCATCTTTGGTGCATAATTTATCCTGCACTGATTGATACATAAATGATTCCTGAAATCATGTGATGTGCGTTTACTTCTCCAAAAGATTAGAATTACAACTCTCCACACTTTGCACCTGTCACCATTACAGGTGCTTAGTTCTGACCCTATAAACTCTGGTAGTGACTGGCCACACAGACTGTGTCCGTGACGATAACATCCCTTTCCAGCATCCTGCATAATTAAAGGAGTCTGTAATTGGCAGAATCAGCCACTGGGTCAGTTTACAACCGTTAGAAGGTCTTTTAATAGTCTAGCGGCACGACGTCGACACGTCTCTACTAGTGCAGATGCCTGAGGAACGCTGTTTCCTCAATGACTATAGCTGTGAGGGCCAAAATTAGTCTTAATTACATAATTATAAAGATATAATGCACTTATGAAATAAAAGATTTGCAGAAAGTAAATTACAGAGTTTATATTATCAACTAACAATATTGTAACAACTTGCAATGTAACCTGACCACACACAGTTTTACACCACTGCCTTGTTATCAAACCGAGATGAACTATTATATACATTTTTTTTTTTTTTTTAAATCGGTAACTGAAATAAAGCTAAAACAAGATATAAATATGAAGAAAAAAAATTACTTAAATGAAAATTATAAACGTCGTCTTGATAACTAACATAAAAAAGTACTAAAAAAATAAATAAAACAAAATAAGTACTCAAATTAATTAAGTAAAACTGAAGTCAAATTAAAATTTAAGCTAAACAGAAATATGAAAAGATAAGCACATCAAAATGCTAAATTTAAAATGAAAATATAAAAATAAGAGCTAATTCAAAATATCAGTACTACGTAGGCCTGTCGCAATAATCAATATATCCATTTATCGCGCAATATATGTACATGACCTCAATCATTTTTGGTGACGCAGTATATCGCCCATTATATTTGCTTAAAAATGAATGTCACCATGTTTTGTACGTTCCACTTGCGCCTGTGTCTTTCGCAGCTTCTCGTACATAACGTGGTTTAGTTGGTGCTAGTTTAAATTTAAAAAATGCTTCTACAAACAAAGTTTCATCTGCAGATATGGCCTTGTTTAGGGATCGGTGTCTTTGTGCGTACGGACATCTGACTGCTGAGTAGTGCTTGTGTTTCTCAGCACTAGTGTGCACCCTTCATTTACAGAGAAAAGAAGGAAACATCTCCATACAAGTTCTTTGTGCATTTTTCTTTTTTTCTACTCGTTACGTTGCACTTTTTGTTAGAAAATATTTGCAATTTTTTCAGGTATCTAATATTTTGATACTTAATTTCCACGATCTAAATATTCTTAAAAATGTCAAGATTGTTGTCATTTGGAAGTGTGTAGGCCTTCTTGCATTATTATGCCGTTACATTATGATTATCTATTCAGTGGCATAAAATGGTCTTTAAAATGACAATAATATCGCTTATGGCAATTATTTCTGGGGCAATATATCGCACAACAAAAAGCTGTTATGACAGGCCTAGTACTACGATAGTACATAAATAATAAAATGACACTGCATGTAAAATACAAGAAAGCAAAGACTATTTAAATAATACTGTTTAACGTTAACAGTGTTCCCACCGAAGCTGTGCATGACTATACAATCACATGAGCCATCTTTAATTGTGCTTTTATGACATCTTTAAAGCCTGACGGCCTCCATTTACTCTCATTGTGTAGAGCAGCCTGGACATTATACTAAACGTCTTCTTTTGTGTTGCACAGAAGAAGCGTCCATGTTTGGAAACCCATGAGGATGTGTATATGATTACAGTTTGTTAAATATCAGGATACAAGTACAATTACCAAATAAACACACACACACAGACTCGATTAAATAACGCAGGTGTGTTGAGTTTCGGCTGTACTGTGGATCACAGAGAGTTAAACTAGAGGACTCACCAAACCACACTGACTATAAAGGCAAACTAGTCAACTTAGAACTAACTAACTCAGCAACTGCTCAACAACTTGATTCATGGGAATACTAGTGCCTCCAGAAGACACACCGCAATGTCACCGCCTGACCTTGGTTTTCTGATCCCCCCCCAAAAAGTCCCCAGGGTCCGGTTCCCCGGGCCAGACGCCCACCATCATCTCACCTAACCAGGTGTCATTAGCAGCTGCTGTTCTCCTGTAAGTTACTCAAGCCTGGCCACTGAAACGCGAGCAGCAGAACAGCATTCGGTACAGCACGGTCAGATAAACAAGGGTTTGTGTTGCGGATCAATCAGCTCCGGTTCTTGAGGAAACACAGCATGTGAGATTCTAACTATATATCGTATATATGAGTGTTACACAGTTACAAGCTGTGCAGTAACTCTAGAGGAGACTAGTGGCTGCCATTCATCCATTTTAATCAGCTTATCAATATCCAAAGCGACGGGGTCTCTCGTTAGCGAAGGAAATTAGCCGTTGGAGGGTGAAAATACAATATAAAAACCCCGAAACGGCAGCGGTACGTACCAGCGGTTCGGTGTCCACATCGTTTCTTGGCGCAGAAACCCGCTGCTGTCAGTCGCGGTTACAGGGTTGTATCCCGCTCGGTCCCCGCAGACAACCGCTGATATACCGGAGGACAATGTCAAGGTCTGAGAGCGTGTATTAGGAGAAGGAAGTGGTGAAAGTGCTGTGTACGGCTGGATTTGAAGGCAGTTCAGACGGATGCTGCGGTAACGGTGACCGAGGTCTGCGGTGAAGCCCGGACTGGGTCTCTTCCCGAAAAACCTGGAGCTGGTGAGACGCAAAACCAGGAGCCAGGACTCTGTGATGGAACCCGTATGCAGTTTCTTGCGTGTTTTACTAAGAGTGAAATGTTTAGAATTTCGATTGGTTTGTTTGTTCTACAATATAAATCAGACCTTATTGTATTTGCCATTTTGAATCTCTTTAAAAGAGCTCATTAACCCATTTTTCTCAGACATGAAAATATCAAAATAATGTGTCATTACTAGTAGCCCCTTGAAATAATCAATATAGCTATATATATTTTTTTTTGTTGTTGTTGTTGTTTTTTTTAATGGAAAAGTGTGTGTTTTATGGTTAGTGAGGGGTGGAATAATGTGTATACATTCTTATATATCTCAGCCCAGTTATTAGCCCATTTTAAACTGTTTCATCACATTCTATGGTTACTATTATACATTAAAAAAAAACTTGATAGGTATACTAAGATACAAAAAAAGAAATGCTGTTATTATCCCACTGGTCACTATTGTTGCCATCAACATGTCCACACTCAACAAAACTAAATAATTGTGAATTCATATATTAATACCACACTCTAAAAAATGCTGGGTTAAATACAACCCAGTGCTGGGTAAATTAGGGACAGACCCAGCAATTGGGTTGTTTTGAGCCAGCGGTTGGGTTAAATGTTTAACTCAATCTTCTGGGTAGTAACCCAACCGCTGGCTCAAAACAGCCCAATTGCTGGGTTTGTCCCTATTTTACCCAGCACTGGGTTGTATTTTACCCAGCATTTTTTAGAGTGTAGACACCTTAAAGATAATGTGCACCGAAAATCTTTGTCATATCTTTTAGCATACGTTACTAGCCTTTTGTTTCTGAGCTTTCTGTCATCTTCTCAAACAGGAAATAAACTGCTCTGGTCATGTGACAAATTTGCACTAAACATGTGAAACTGCACATATTTAATTGAGACCCTTTATTTTTTCCATATTTGCAGAAAATGCACTAAAACACCAGTCAGTAACGTTTTTAGAGCTTTATAAATGAAAACCTTCTTTACGGTTACTATTGTGACCAGTGGGATTAAATGGGTTTTAAATTAGCAAACATCCTATCATAAAAATTATATGCGCACGTCACATACTTTTTAACAGTCTGTGTCTATTTAAACAAAAGTAAAGTTTTTTATTTTAATAAGTTATAAATAATAATGACCTTAATAATAATCTGTTATTAAGTTAACAAAGCATTATAAAGTTATTTATTATAAACGTCTAATAAGACCTGAAACTGAGTAGCCTATTTGAACCTAATAAATGATTACAATATGTGTGGCCATCTTGAACTGAATATTATTTTCCTCCAATAATATTCAAATCATGAATAATAAGCCAGATCAAATAAAAATGATAGATTTAAAAATGGATAGTGTAGGGGCGGTTCTGATTTCTGTAGGAAGACTATTCCAAAGTCTCGGAGCGGCGAATGCTCGATCACCCCTAGACTTGAGTCTGGTTTTAGGAACCACTAAAATTGGCAGACCTAAGCGCTCTTGCAGGTTGGTGGTCTATCAACAGATCAGAGAGGTATGAGGGTGCTAAACCATTTAAAGACTTAAAATCCAATAAGAGCACTTTAAAATTAATCCTGTAGCGCACAGGTAACCACTGTAAAGACTGAAGGACAGGCAGGGTGCGAACTACGGGGGAGCTAGGGCGAGCTCGGCTCCCCTTAATAAGACATGGGCTCCCCTGAAAACGTGATTTGTGAAATTTTGGGGGGTCTCAAAAAATATTGACAATGTGTTATTTTGACGTGCAATTTCAGTTTTGTGTAATGTGATCATCGTGGATTATTATGTGTAAAATTGCAAAAATATCATTCATTCATGCATGACGGCGATTTAAACCTCATTCACTTCAATAAAGATAACTATACGTGCTATTCTTGTCATGAGCATCAAGCTGTGGGGGCGCTGCGGTGCAAATTCCACTCATGTTTAGTACATGTTAACTCAAAGATTCGTTGAAAAAATATAAACGTTGGAGGCCGTTGATCTGCGCGCGAAGTCCTTGAGTCCCTTCTGCAGTTAGCACCATATAGCCACCATGGCAAAAAGAACACAAGGCAGTTTAATTAATTTTGGTTTTACTAAGAAACTGTGTGGTGATGACGTTAATAGCACGACTGATTCACCTGCTGCAAACCCTGTTAGCACACCTCCCGCCGGGGTGACAACGCAAGAAGAAACTGAAGAAATAAAGTCCTCTCTGACTGAAGATGGTGGTGGTAACAGCTCGTCAGAGGCCAGTCACGATCCTAACCCCTCTTGCTCCTCTCTCCCATTAAACTGGAACAGCCAGCAGTGGAGAGACTGGCAGAGCCGATATACATGGCTTTTTGTTAAGGATGGAACTTCCCTGGAGATGACCTGCCTTAATCCAAGATAAATCACATCTTGGATTAAGGCAGGTCATCGCCCATCCACTTCTTGAATTTCTGGACGAACAGCAAAGGAAGCTGACCCCAGGCCTCTGTGGTCAATTCTGTGTTAAAGGGGTCATATGATACGATTTAAATTTTTCCTTTCTCTTTGGAGTGTTACAAGCTCTTGGTGCATAAAGAAGATCTGTAAAGTTGCAAAGACTAAAGTCTCAAATCCAAAGAGATATTCTTTATAAAAGTTAAGAGTCAACCACGCCTACCTAAAACGCCTCGTTCTAACACGCCCCCACATGTCTATGTCAGGATGTGGGAAGATTTGCATAACGCCGCCCAAATGTTCACGCAAAGAAAGAAGGCGTAACTTTTATTCTCGCTGTAGTATTGTTGTTGCCGCCGCCATGTCGTAAAGGCGCTGTGTGTTTCGTTGTGAAAGCGAAACTACTTTGTTTGGTCTTCCAAAAGAGGACGATATCTGCTTCGTCATGCCTGGAGCTGATCCGTGCTGGTCGCTGAGGGAATACTACAACTTCGTGCTGTGGATCACCGGATCGGCTTTCACCGTGGACGAAGCGGAGTCCAGCCCGGGGTCGTCACATGTTGCCGCAAGCCCGCCAGACACTCCTTCGTCGAATCCGCCGACCGCGCCGTTCTCAAGCCAGCTCGCCTCTACCAATACCTCCGTTATAAAAAAAAAAAAAAGGGGGCTCCCCCAAAGTCCACGGTATAGTTCAAACACTATGGACAGGGGTAATATGCTCACGCTTTCGAGCTCCCATCAGGACTCTGCAGCTGCATTTTTTATCATCTGAAGGCAGTTTAAGGAAGATTGACTGATCCCCAAATAAAGAGAGTTACAATAATCAAGCCTTGTGGTGATAAAAGCATGGATTACTCTTTCAAAATGAGTAAAAGAAAAAAAGGACTTCATTTTTACCGGTGTTCGCAACTGATAAAGCTTAACTTCACAACTTGGTTGACTTGTCTAGCAAGCTTTAAGGCACTGTCCAAAACCACACCCAGATTTTTCACGTACGGCTTTACATAAGGTGCCAGAACACCAAGATTTAGATTTGGTATACAGTGTGTATCAGAAGGGGTAAACACCACAATCTCTGTTTTACTCTCATTAAGACTTAAAAAAATTTAGGGACATCCATGCTTTAACATCCAAAGGAAGTTTCAAAGGAAGATATAGTTGTGTGTCATTTGCATAACAATGATAACTTATTCCATACTTGTCAAAGATAGATCCGAGGGGAAGCACAAGGAAAATAACATGGGAGCTAGAGTAAAGCCTTGAGGGACCCCACAGGTCAAAGGTACAGAAGAAGAGTGAAATTTGCCAATATTAACTGAGAAACTCCTGTTCGTAAGATAAGACTGGAACCAATTTAGGGCTGAACCTCTAATGCCCACTACCTTGTCTAAGCGGGACAGAAGAACATTGTGGTCTACAGTGTCAAAAGCAGCGCTCAAGTCTAAAAGTACCAATGCTACAGAATCTCCAGAGTCGGTAGCTGAAAGAATGTCATTAAACACTTTTAAAGGGGTCCTATTATGCTCTTTTACAAAGTCTTGATTTTGTTTTGGGGGTGTACTAGAAGATGCTCTCATGCTTGGTGGTTCGAAAAACTCATTATTTTTCACATAATTTACATTATTAAAATACCTTTCTCCCCAGGCTGGCACAAATGGCTCGATTAGTTCCGGCTTTGATGAAGGTCCGCCTTCCGAAAAACAAAATGTGTTGTGATTGGTTAGCTGTCCCAGTGCGTTGTGATTGGCGAACAGCTTAGACAGTGTTTCAGTACTGCCACGCCCCCTTGCTCCATCTTTCAAACAAAAGCTTTTGGGAATCCGGCACTTCTCACTCGTGATGTGAAAGCTGTCCTCAGTAAAATGCGTAGCACACAAGAGCAAATTGGGGTTATAATGCTCAGGAACAGAGTTAAAAAGTAAATTGCAACCACTGTTTCCTGACATCATCCGCTTTCGGAAGCCCAAACAAAGACGTTTGGGCACGGAGGTGAAAAAAACAGCGTTTCAAGAGGTCGCGCACCGGACGAGAAGCGCAGCGTCGCACCATGTCTTTAAAATACAAATACATTATTTTCTATATGAGTGTAGGCACACCGGCGGCGCCCAGCTACGTCGTGTAGCATGCCAAGCGGAACACAGTTCATGCACGGAGCTCACTTCTAACGAGATGATCTGAATCAGGTGTGTTAACAAAGAGAGATATGCAAAACATGCAGAGCGGGGGTACGAGAGGACTGGGATTGAGAACCGCTGGTCTAGAACAATTCTTACAAGTATACTTGTAGACAAGTACAGATCATCTTGTTAGAAGTGAGCTCCATGCATGAACTGTGTTCTGCACACTACACACTGACTAAAATTAAAAAAGTGAAAAAGCATAATAGGACCCCTTTAAAAGAGCCGTCTCGGTGGAGTGAAATTTTCTAAAGCCTGATTGGAACGCATCAAACATTTTGTAATCGACCAAGAAACTTTGGAGATGATGAAAAACTACTTTCTCTATAATTTTTACTAAAAATGGA